AGCATGTCCTTCTCTGAGTTTCCTCACCAACCAACTCTCATTCTGCCCATTTTCCTGAACAAGCAACATCTCCTCCAGCAAGCTCCACGCTGTTAACATTTCATTCAACCAGGAGGCCAGCAACAGGCAACATCTTCTCTAACGAAGCTCCTCCACATCTACCTCCTTCAACAAGCTACTCACTGCACGTCTCTACCAAGCAGCCCCTCACCACACAGCATCTCCAGCACCAGACTGTCTATCATATAACTTATATATTATACAAGAAAACCACATTAGAGTTTCCTTCCATCCTGAGTGCTAGACAACATTAATATCTCGATACCCCTACACCATCATAAAATTAAGATGTTATTTTTACTACAACATAGGTATTGTGTCAGAAAAAGTGGAGATTGGGAGTCAGCCCAGTCTCTATTTTAATTAATCCCATATGTTCTGTTATTCCATTTACGCGTTTCTCGTTTTACGCGGACCTCCGTGGGTTAAATTGACCGAGTAAAGTGGGATATATATATATATATATATATATATATATATATATATATATATATATATACACAGACTGTATGTGATCTACAAAAGAATTATTTTTATCTCATGACTTTACAAGTAAGAAAGCCATTTGCTTTACTTCCCACATATATATATATATATATATATATATATATATATATATATATATTTATATATATTTACTATATATATTTATATTTATATATATATATATATATATATATATATATATATATATATATATATATATATATATATATATATATATATATATATATATATATATATATATATATATATATATATATATATACATACGTATATACATTAGTTCCAGTTAAATAACAGACGCTTAAGTGACGTCACTAGTGTTTACACTACACCAGCCGGTATCATTTGATGCCATTACTTGAAGTGAATTGGTTTTATTTTAAAAAACCAAGAATGTGTAAACAGCACTGGTCAGTGGGATGGTTGGTAAAGGACAACTGGGTCAGTAAGCTCCCAATGGTAAGTGTCACATTTGGGGTAGTCTTATACAGCGATTAGAGCTCAAAACCTACTTTTTACAGTGGTCCCTCGGTTAACGAACGCCTCGGTTAACGAACTGCCTCCCATAAGATTCTTAAATTCGGTTAACGAACAAAAATTCGGTTAACGAATTTCTTACGAACCGACCTCAACATGTTTTTGCTTGCACTGGCCGGTCAACCAGCTTTAGTATTAGTCCGCCAATACATTAATCAGTTCTAGGGCTTAAATTCCTTACTATCTTAGTAAATATCAAGAAGTTTATACTATTCAATAATATTAAAAGTTTAACATTCAATTTTTTAGTCGTTTTAACAATTATTGAACATAATTGAAGGTAAAGTGACTAGTTTAATGCGCGGCATCCAGCCTCTTAACACAGCAAACAGGAGTTAGTCTCTCTCTGTTTTCACTGGAGGTAACATCTTGCTTGAGACTCTCTTCAACTAAACACTTTTTTTCTGTGTTTCCAAGCAAATTATTGGTCACTTTGAAATATATTTTACATATTGACAATATATAGTGCAGTGCAGTGTTGATTTAAAGAAAATAATCTTAAAATACACCAAGAGAACTAAAATTTTATGGGTGAAATGGGTGACGTGGGGTGACTTCTCTTCCACCCCAATGCCTTATCTTCTTCCTTCTCCTCCACCCCCATTCTAATTCCCATCATCATCATCATCATCATCATCCAGGAGCCTTCTACATACACACCTCAAAGTAAGTGAACTTTTCTACCATTTTTGTTGAATTTAGGCAATTTTCGGTGAGCTGGAACCAATTACCCAAAAACCCATTGAAACAATGGTTTCGGTTAACGAATTTTTCGGTTAACGAACAACCTGCTGGAACGGATTGTGTTCATTAACCGAGGGACCACTGTATATGGAAATTTTGGGGGTAGTCTTACACACCCTGTAGCCTTGTACGCCGAGATATAGGGTACTCACGAGACAGTGAGCCGAGATCCCCAATAACGCTACCCCATCCCCACTACAGTAGAATGTGGATATAACACAAGATACGTTCCAAGAGAGGTCGCTTTAAACCGAATTTCCACTAAAGCGAAGTGTTGTTTCAATGGAATAATTTAGTTTGGTACTCGAGTGAAAACACAAAATACTAAAAAGACTGAGAGTCTACCCAGATGCACCTCATCCCATCTCCTAGAATAAACAAAACATTGTTTTTTGTAGTATTATGTTAAAACAAACACTCATAAATCAACACAGCGAAAATTAAGGGATGCAAAATGATCTGTTTACTGGCTGGGAAGATGGGCGGGGGGGGGGAGGTGAGGTGATATTTTTGACAGTTGATGCCAAGGTCTAGTGCTTATTTATTTGTCTGTCCTTAAGAGTGACTAAGTTTTTTCTCTTATAAAATGTCACTAAACTGACATGGGAGAAAATACTGTAATTAACATTGCTGGAATTCTTATAAGATAGTGATTAGTTTGAATATATACATGCTATAGTTCACAATAGACATACAAATTTTAGTTGTAACTAATTTTATTACAAAGGGCTGAAATTTTTATCTCTTGTGCAAAATATATGATGTTTATATTCATTTAGTCTCTGTCTTGCAAGGATTCTAGCAATGCAAATTATATTCTCCTAACTTTAGTCTGTGATATTATATAAGATAAAAACTGTAAGCCTAAAACACTAAACCCTGGCTGGGAAGATGGGAGGGGGGGACACGTTTGACAGTTGGGGCAAAAGGTCGAGTGAAGTTTTTATTTGTTTATTGATGTCCTTTAGATTGAGTTTTTTATTTTTTGTTCATAAAATGTCACAAAAGTGACTGGAGAGAATATAATTTACATTGCTGGAATTCTTATACTATAGTGATTAATTTGAATATAATCATGCTATAGTTTGCACTAGACAAAAACATTATTTTGAGTACATGTATAGTACAGCTTTGCCCTTAGGACAGTGTAGCGTGCCCAGAGAAACTTTAGGCGCGAATTTTAAAATACGATGTGTCAGATTGACTCGTGCAAAATAGGAAAGATTCGCTTTAAATTAAAACATTGTCCTTAATTTTGGGTATCGCTTTAAATCAATAATCTTAAATTGAATCGTTTTAAATCAACGTTCTACTGTACACGTATATGTTTTAAGTCCCACACAAGTAAGCAATGTCTATTCCCTCTATGTTTTTTACCTTATGATAGAGGCCGCCACAATAGAAAGGGCACAGGTGACAATTTTTAAAAATGGAGAAAAAGGCAACTTTCGTGGAACACACATCAGCATGTGGGGGCCAACCTGCCTTGCTGGTAGAAATTTTTTGGTCTTTTTGCAACATTACTCTTCCACGTGTGAGGCCTGCCTCGGGTTCACTCACCTCACTTTCAATCAAAACAGGTGCTGGGTCATCCACACACGACACACTTTGTGACAAAGGAAACCTTGTTGAAACTTGCTGTGGTAGTAACTCAATTTTGGGCGCGGTGGCTCTTGTGCCCTTATGCACATTCTCTATGAACGATTGTGTGTGCATGTAATAGAGTAAAAAAAAAATGAAGAGAATTACATATACTGTACAATACTGTACTGTATCTATAGAAAATACAAGTTGAAAAATAACACTAACGCAGCTCACACCACTCACCACCGCATAGACGCTGAAGCCCCCCTCTCGCTCCCCCCTTCCTCCCCTACGATCATACACTAACTATCGCGGACATACTTGCCAATTGGTATTTTTCATCACTCCCAAATTCAGATAAATTATATTTATTAATCTTTTTACACAAAAGTGGCAGTACACCTTTATTGCAATATTCCTTAAACCACCCATAAACAAGGATATTAAAGTTGGCCAATTTTTTTTCCTGCAAGGTTCTACGCTACACAGGGTAATTTCCATCTCACCTGTTACTGTCATTCAATTTTGATGTGATGAGTGAATGCACCTCCTGAAGTCTTTCCAAAGCCAGTGTCATCAGCTTGTTCTCCACATTAACACTATCCTTCAAGTGAAATCATAATTCAGGAAATTATAGTACTGTATGTGATCAAGAAAATTATATGCCTCACAAGCAGATCATTATACAGTAAAAGTCCAAAAATCCGGATGCCAGGAGTCCGGACCACCCGAGAATCCGGACTTTTCGAAAACTCAAACTTTTTAAATTTAGCGGGGGCTTTTGTGGGTTATGTGAATGAATGGAGTTGCTTAAAAAAATTAATTTACATAATTCTAATAATAAAAGTAATTGTAAATTATAGGTAGCTAATTTTGTTAGTTTTGTAATTAGCTTGAACTGAAATGTAAAATTTGAGGCACTATAAATCTTTTGTGTGTATGTGTGCATGCGTGAATGCCACAGCTGCACAGCGACAACAAACGACCACACGATCGACACTTTAAAACAAGCAATCAAACTGTGACAACGTATGTAATTTTGAGTCCTACTCTTTCCATGTACAGAGTACAAGCCCATAATAATGGCCCCTAAAGTAGATAAACTTCGTTGTGTGAAGAGAAAGAAGAACACATTGAAATTGCGTGACAAACTTGAAATAATTAGGAAACTAGAATGTAATGTGAGCAATGCTGTTCTAATGGAAACATACAACATTGGAAAGTCTACAATTTATGATATAAAAAAGGCAAAGAATAAAATTCTAGAATTCACAGCTTCTTCTGAGCCTTACATTAAAATTGCTGAAAGAAAAAGTTTACATTGGCCCAAATTAGAAAATCTTGATAAAGTGTTGAACGAATGGTTTTTGTTAAAACGATCAGAAGGTATGGCAATTTATGGGCCGATACTTATTGCCAAAGCAAAGTCTTTCAAGGAGCAAATGAACATTGAATCAGAGTGCGCATTTAGTGATGGATGGCTTAGGAATTTCAAGACTAAGTCATGGTATTAGACAGTTTGTTTACATTTTTGTCTAGTGTTGACTTAATATTTCTTTAAAACTGCTCGTTCTGATAAATGAAGCATGCTTTATTTGCTAATGAATAAACCATCAAAATGTACCTGTTCATCTCTTCTTTATTCCTCCTTAAATTTTAATTTTAAAAGTACTGCCTGAGAATCCGGAAAATCCGAAAATCCGGACCGACCCAATCCCCAAGCAGTCCGGATTTTTGGACTTCTACTGTACATTAATTTTATTAACTGGTTAAAAGACAGTCATTCAACACAAGTGTAGATAACAAAAATATTAACTTAGAAGATTTTTCTTTTGGTTTCATGAGCTGTGAAATCCATTTCAGTCCTACAATTCACCCAAGTAATCATAAATTTTATAAAAACGTTAATCTCTCTTAAGAAGATCTTTTTATAAGAGAAATATTCTCCAAATATGAATTGTGGTCAATTCAATTATAAATGTCTTACATTAGTTAGTGTTCTGTTCCCATGTACTGATTGCACGTTCAAGTTTTGATCTTCATTCCATTAACTGCAAAATCATCAAAATTTTATTTATAATATTCTGCTAATCCAACCCCCAAATTAAGTGATGAATGTAAAGCAAGAAAATTCCAGGAAAAAATAAGTAAGTATGAGCTGCAATGAACTTCAGGCTCACAATCACGAATTTCACTTTCGAGAAAAAAAGAAAAGAAAAGAAAAAGACTACGTATTATTGTTACCTCAGTAGCCTGTGAGGCCAAATATGACCATTCACCGGGCAAGCTCCAATTTGTGGTACCACAGAGGCTAGTGGTTGGTTGTTTTTCGAATGATAAAGTCGAGGCACCAGCTGAGAGAAGGTAAGCAGTTCGTCTGCTGCCAGATACTTCACCTGTGGTCAAGATAACAAATGACTTTTATCAAGGGAAAATAAATGTGACCAGCAATATCACCTGCCAAAACATCCCCAAGCACAGTCTACCTTAAACAGGAAGACAACATTCTTGAGGCAAGTATATTCAGGGTTACCACAGGTCAGGGAAAGTCAGGGAATTTTGTGGCATGTCAGGAAAAACTTAGGGAATTCCATATAAACTTTGAGAATTTATTTTAAAAATTTCTCAAAACCTTTATTACTAAATGAGATGTTTCAGTTCATGAATCCCCTTCTCTGGCTGACATACAGACTTGTGGGCTGCATGTTGTACAGTACACCCACTAAAAAATTATTCGGCACCCGTCTCATATTGAATCACGCTGTAAGGGTGCCAAATAATTTTCTAAGTGGGTATACGGTATGTATGTATGTATGTATGTATGTATGTATGCATGTACACCCACTAAAAAATTATTCGGCATCATTATGGCGTGATTCAATATGAGACGGGTGCCAAATAATTTTTTAGTGGATGTACATGGCACCTTTAGAACAGGTTGTGAAAAATGAATCTCCAGCAAGATGTTCTGACTACACAACAATAACAGGCAATACAGTATTTCCCCACCAATTCTGTGATACACAATGGGTTGAAGATTGTATTTTGCAAAATAAATTTAAAAAATATCCAGTGGTCAAAAGAACAAGGTTCTTAAATACTAATTTTACTATCTTGTCCATAAGGCTGTTAACAACCCTTTAACTATTGCAAAGCTTAGTGTATACAGCGAAGATTATGCAACCCTTTCTTGAAACATTTCAGTCTGGTAAACTGATGGCAACAATACTTGGACAAGAAGTTGGCAAGATTTTACTAGAATATCAGTCAGATTCACTTGAAAAATGACACTGAAGAGATTCAAAATTATGTTCTAGGAAAGAAAGTAAGGAAGGGATTTGCTGCCAAAACCTCTCTGGTTAAAGAAGTTGGTGTCCCAAAACAAACTGAATTCAAGCAATAGTGTTTTTCATGCAATATATCCACCATTTTGAAATCGAAAGAAATTTCACCAATAAAATGTGAACCTTTGCTGCTTAAATCCTCAAAGTAATATCCCTGTTAGCTGGAATTTTTTATCCCCAGAACTTTCAATTAAACTAACCTCTGGGTAAAACAACAGTAAGTCTTCTTTGCACTTTAGTTTTACAATAAGAGGATTCAGTTTGTACTTCAACACTGCAGACACTGGTTCGGCCTCCACCAAAGTCAAACCTGGAACAAAATATATATTGTATATTGTAATCTATCACTGTTATTACAATATTACCATACTGAAAGCACTATTCTCAATGCATCTTTACTCTCATCAGATTAAAAAAGTTATCATCTTTTAATGGGAAGGTCTGTGTACATCACATCAGAATAATGCCCCATCAAATTTGCTTGGCCATGGGACTGAACCCAAGTCTCAAGGTCTGGGAGTCCAGAGCACTCCCAACTATGCCATAATTTTTACAGTGTTATATTTATTATTATCATTATTATGAAGATAAAATTCAGTCTGTACATGAAATGACATTCTTGTCTGTGGTATCAAATGATTTTTTTTTTCGGGGATTAGCCCACCCGGGCACAGGTCACTAATCCACATCAGGGCCTAGGAGGCGAAATAATAATAATAATAATAATAATAATAATAATAATAATAATAATAATAATAATAATAATAATAATAATAATAATAATAAAAATAAAAATAAAAATAATAATAATAATAATAATAATAATAATAATAATAATAATAATAATAATAATAATAATAATAATAATAATAACAACACTGCAATAATAGTAATAAAGAACCATAAAGAAATACAAAAATTAAAAAAGATCAAGAGTGAGAAACAATATACAGGTATGTATGTTGTGTTGTCAATGGTAAGAGAAACAATTGAGACCCTGCAATTGTGTGTAAATGAAGCAGAAAGTCAGATTAGCAACCTGGGACTTGGTCACAATTTTTGTGATGCCATATGGCAGCAGGGTCTACCATAGACAACACATTATGCTTCCAATATCTTCCCAGGGGTAGTACCTCCCTGTTTGGTAGCTGCCTACTACATTTGATGGATCATGACCTTGAAATTGTATTTTCTGGCTGATCCCATAACCAAACGGCTCTCATTAATGTACAAGTCAGTTGTGGGGGCTAGATATCATGCCTTGCCCTCACTTGACAGCTAGGGGTTAATCTGATGATTTCCTATCCCTCCCAGTCATAGTCATTAAATTCCTTAAAAGGACATTTGAAGTAAAGGTTGCCCTTAAAAGGCAGGATGTTAATTGCGGTCAAACTACCTGGCGAGTATCTCATGCCACCACTGCCAACCACCCAGCTCTGTGCCAGCTTTCCTTTACCATTCCTGCTAGCAACATGGATATAAGACTTCTTAAATTGAATGTCATTTTAGTTTACAAGTAGTTTCAGTCTTTCCACGCCATACAGTATCATGGTTGTGTTTAGTAAAATTTTTAAAGTTGGCAAAATTAAAAAAAAATTCCCTAATTTACTAACTCCAAAAAGTTCTGGAAGATTTTCCATTTAGGTGAAAATTTCATCCACATCTCCAAACTCATTCCATAATTTTCTGGTTCCATTAATGAAAATTTTCATTACTGAAAATTCCATAGTGTGGGGGATACCTGTAACTGACAGGGATGAGTGGATCATAAGATCAGCCCCTAGCTGTAATGTGGAGACAAGCTGTGAGAGGCATGAAAATTTAATCAAGTCATTTAAGAAGAGCGTCCGGCTTAGATCGACGAAAATTAAAAAAATAAATAAAATACGTAACAATTCCTTAGTAAAGGTGTTGCCTATGGCTGTATCTAGACAGAGTTTTATGGCAATACAGTATTACCCCGCTTTACACGGTTTCACTTTCCGCGATTTCTCATTTACGCGGTACCTTCCCAGAACCAGACTTTCACTTTCCGCTGTGCATCTACTCACATACGCGGTGAAGTATAATTTTTTTTTTTTATTTAGCTCATAAAATTCATACAAATTACCCGGCCAGAATATAATTTACATTGCTGGAATTCTTTCAATATGATGATCATTTTGAATATAAACATCATGGATTTTGCATTAGACATACAAATTTTAGATCTAATGTAATAATTTGATTTACACAAAGCAAATATTTTATCGTTTGTGCAAAATATATGAAGTTTACATTCAAAATATTCCCTGACCTGCAAGGAATCCAGAAATGTCAATTATATTATCCTAACTTTAGTCTGAGGTATTATTTATTACTGAACGTTAAAATCTAGTGTTTTCACCCAAACATTCCTCTGGTAGGGAGGGAAGGTGGGGGGTGGGGGGGGGAAGGGTTGGGACCGACCGACCCAGCTGGCGTGAGTGTGAGGAGGGGGGGGAGGCAAGGTGGGGTACTTTGATTGACGGATAGTGTCCTTGAAGAAAATTTCTTTGTTTATTTACTGAAGATACTTGTTTTAGCTCATAAAATTCATACAACTTACACGGCCAGAATATAATTTACATTGCTGGAATTCTTACAATATGATGATCATTTTGAATATAAACATCATGGATTTTGCATTAGACATACAAATTTTAGATCTACTGTAATAATTTGGTTTACAAAAAGCAAATGTTTTATCGTTTGTGCAAAATATATGAAGTTTACATTCAAAATATTCCCTGACCTGCAAGGAATCCAGAAATGTCAATTATATTATCCTAACTTTAGTCTGAGGTATTATTTATTACTAAACGTTAAAATCTAGTGTTTTCACCCAAACATTTCTCAGAGAAGTAGGAGCTAGTGAGCTGGGAAGAGGGGGGTGGGGGATTTGAGTCCATTATTTGAATGGACATTAACCTGGCGACTGTATTTCTCTTAAATATTAATTGTGCGAGCATACCATCGTAAAATTAAGATGTTATTTTTACTACAACATATGTATTGTGTCGGAAAAAGTGGAGTTTGGGGGTCGGGCCAGTCTCTATTGGAATTAATCCCATATGTTCTGTTGTTCACTTTACCCGGTTTTCACTTTCTGCGGTACCCTGTGGGTTCAATTGACCGCATAAATCGGGGTACTACTGCATTCGTAATATTTATGCAGTTATGTATGGTTTCCCCCCCGCCCCCAACCGCACTCCGCTGCAACGCACATCTTAGCTCACTTGTACTGGTGTACCAGGCTTCTCTCCTCAAATATCAGGATGGCATGTGATTCAAAACATAAAAGACAACTAAAGGAAGCACAGGCCAAGAACATTGCTAAGTTCAAGAGGGTGAAAGAAGAAAATATTCACTAAAATAGTGACGGTAACAGCCGTCTCAGGGGGCACCTGATGCAGTCCAGCCCCAGCCTTCCACCCCTCCCCTCTACCTCACGTAAAGAATATAACTGGAGTTCTGTTGGAGATGTAAAAATCCACAAGATATAACATGTAAAATTGGCTCAGAATTAGTACTTACCCAGGGGAGAAAGGTTGAGAAACTTTATTAGCCTGTATCTCAAAATGAACTTTTCCAACACTCAGATTGGAAAATCTCTGCCAATTTTAGACCGATTTCAATGAAACAAACACTCAGCACAGGAAGAACCCTTCCTCAACATAACTCCAGAGACCATTTTTTTCTATCTTGTAAGATTTGTTTTTGGTTGAATATTTAATCTCGCTATTTTGACAAAAATTTCAACCAAACTTGAATTTTTTTTATCCACAAAACCAAAGACAAAAACAAACATATTGCTCTGGAGTATCAATGACAATACTAGATCTCTGAGTACAGTGGTCCCTCGGTTAACGAGATTTCGGTTAACGAGATTTCGGTTTACGAGTTACCTCCCATAAGATTCTTAAATTCGGTTAACGAGCAACCCCTCGGTTAACGAGTTTCTTACGAGCCGACCTCAACAAGTTTTGGCTTGCACTGGGCAGTCAACCAGCTGTAGTATTAGTCCGCCAATACATTAATCGGTTCTAGGGCTTAAACTCCTTACTATTTTAGTAAATATCAAGAAGTTTATACTATTCAATAATTTTAAAAGTTTAATATTAAATTTTTTAGTCATTTTAACAATTATTGAACATAATTGAAGGTAAAGTGACTAGTTAAATGCGCGGCATCCAGCCTCTTAACACAGCAAACAGGCATTAGTCTCTCTCTGTTTTCACTGGAGGTAACATCTTGCTTGAGACTCTCTTCAACTAAATGCTTTTTTCTGTGTTTCCAAGCAAATTATTGGTCACTTTGAAATTTATTTTACATATTGACAATATATAGCGCAGTACAGTGTTATTTTAAAGAAAATATTCTTTATTTACAACAAGTTTAACTTTAAAAAGCACGTGTTGACATTGTTTGAATCCAGCATGGGGCCTAAGAGATCAAGAAAAGCGATTTCAATCCAAACCAAGCAGGAAATCATAAAAAAACATGAACAAGGCATTAGAACAAATGCGCTATGCAAAGAATATGGCATGTCGACATCAAATGTGTCGACAATTCTTGCACAGAAAGACAAATTTAAAGAAGTGAAAGTGAGAGACAAATCTACAAGAGTGTTTAAAAGTACAGTTGTACCCCGCTTAATGCAGTTTCACTTAACCGAAAAATTCGTTAACCGAAACCATTGTTTCAATGGGTTTTTGGGTAATTGGTTCCAGCTCACCGAAAATTGCCTGAAGTCACAAAAAATGTAGTAATGTACCCTTACTTTGAGGTGTGTATGTAGAAGGCTCCTGGATGATGATGATGATGGGAATTAGAATAGGGGTGGAGGAGAAGGGAGAAGAGAAGGCATTGGGGTGGAAGAGAAGTCACCTCATGGTGCCATTTCACCCATAAAATTTTAGTTCACTTGGTGTAATTCAAGATTATTTTCTTTAAATCAACACTGCACTGCATTATATATTGTCAATATGTAAAATAAATTTTAAAATAACCAATAATTTAACTGGAAACACAGAAAAAAAGCATTTATGTTGAAGAGAGTCTCAAGCAAGATGTTACCTCCACTGAAAAGACACAGAGACTGGCGCCTGTATGGTGTGTTGACAGGCTGTTTGGCGTGCTAAAAACTAGTTTCCCTGTACTTAAATTATGTTAAATAATTGTTAAAATGACTAAAAAATTTAATATAAGACTTAAAATTATTGAATAGTACAAAGTTCTTGATATTTACTAAAATAGTAAGGAATTTAAGCCCTAGAACGGATTACTGTATTGGCGGACTAATACTACAGCTGGTGGGCAGCCAAATGTTGGGAAAAATTTGTAAGGAATTCGTTAATCGAGGGAATGCTCGTTAACCGAAGTTAAGAATCTTATAGAAGGAAATCGTTAACCGAAATTTCGTTAACCGAGGCGCTCGTTAACCGAGGGTTCACTGTACTGTTATTATAAATAATAAAGTCAATAGAAGAGACATAAAATACAGTACGTACTGTATTTATACTGTTATCCCATTACTTACCTCGATGCAAAGTTTGAGTGCATCTTTCCTGGGGAAACCCGAGGTGAGGCACTTCCAATACGCTTTCTTTTGAGGGGGCTTCTATGGGAGTGAGGTGAAACATGCTGCTTTGTCTGCTGCTCTAACTGGCGACATTGACTTAAAAGTTCCTCCGCCTCTCTATTCTGAAATTTATCCAAGTTCATATAAGCATCTGCTGGGTAGTTCATACAGTACAAAAGAATTTCCAGGAGTCCCAGGGCCCAGGGATCTACTTTAAAATGTAAGAGGTTCATTATGTTTTTGTTTTTAAATAAGGTTATTACAGTATTAGAGCAATATGTCTGTAGTGTGTTATATATATATATATATATATATATATATATATATATATATATATATATATATATATATATATATATATATATATATATATATATATATATATATATATATATATATATATATATATATATATATATATATATATATATATATATATATATATATATATATATATATATATATATACATACAGTTGTACCCCACTTAACGCGGTCAATAGAACCCAGAGGGTCCCGTGTTAAGTGAAATCCGCGTTAAGTGAACAACAGAACATATGGGATTAATTCCAATAGAAACCAGCCCGACCCCCAAACTCCACTTTTTGAAGACACATAACTATGTTGTAGTAAAAATAACATCTTAATTTTATGATGGTACATGCACACAATTAATACTTAAGAGAAATAGAGAAATACAGTCGCCAAGTTAATGTCCATTCAAATAATGGACTCAACTCCCTCCCCCTCTTCTCACACTACACTGCTGGCTCTTCCCTCTGAGAAATTTTTGGGGGAAAACCACTAATTTTAATAAATAATACCTCAAACTAAAGTTAGGATAATACAATTGACATTGCTGGATTCCTTGTAAGACCAGGAATATTTTGAATATAAATGTCATATATTTTGCACAAAAGATAACATATTTACTCAAGAGTAAACATTTTATCTAAAATTTGTATGTCTAATGCAAAATATATGATGTTTATATTCAAAATGATCACCAAATTATAAGAATTCCAGCAATGTAAATTATATTCTGGCCGGGTAATTTGTATGAATTTTATGAGCTAAAACAGGCAGTCAGGCAGGGTGGCGGGTGGGGCAAATCTAAAAATAGCGTCTGGAGCCGGACACTCACCGCGTATATGTGGAAAAAATCCGTGTTAAGTGAAAGTTCAGCTCTGGCGAGGCACCGCGTATATGATAAAACGCGTTAAGTGAAACCGCGTTAGGCGGGGTAATACTGTGTATATGTATGTATGTATATATATATATATATATATATATATATATATATATATATATATATATATATATATATATATACATACATACATACATACATACATACATACATACATACATACATACATACATACATATACATATATATATATATATATATATATATATATATACACAGTTGGTTCTCACATTAAGCGGTCCCGCAATCCGCGTTTCACCGTTACCGCGGTGCCTTGCCAGAACCTAACATTTTCACATTTCGCGGTCGCGAACGCCATTCCGCGGAGAGTGTCCGGCGCGACGCTATTTTTAGATTTGCCCCACCCGCCTGCCTGCCTCTCCCTCGTCCTCCCTCCTCCTCCTCCCTCCGCTTGGGCAAGCGGCGCGGTAAGGTTGCGCAGTGTGTCTTTGTTGCGTTATCACTGACGTCATATGACGTATCAGACCTGTGATTGGCCATGCATCCCTACCCTCCTCTGCTGCTAGCTGTAATTGGCTTAAAGTATTATGACGTGTCCACCCGGGGCAGGGAGGGAGGGAGGAGAGACGACGCTTGACCTAGCCGCGACAGTTTCATCCCTCAAGGCCACTCCGTGTTAACGCGCATCCATTGTTCCGTAAAATGGCTTCCGCCGGACCACCACCCCCAGAGAAAAACCTTTCCTTACCTGGACCCAGCGGCACTAAGCCAAAGAAGACACGACGTTCCTTAAGCTACGAGGTGAAGTACCAAATTATTCAAGATTTGGAGAAAGGAACACGGCAAGTTGATCTCGCGCGCCAGCATGGCGTCAACGAATCTACGATTCGCACGATCAAGAAGGATGCAGCCAAGATCAAAGAGCACATGAAAATCACAAAGTCTGCAGGTGCTTCTGTGATCAAGTATTTTCACAACCAGGTGCTTCTCAAGACAGAAAAATTACTTGTGAGGTACTTGGTGCGTCAGGCGCGACGGAACATGGCGGTCGACACGCGCTCTGTGAAGGACTACGCACGTGAACTGTACATGGCAGTGGCACGAAAGATGGGAATTACAGAGCCCAAACCCTTTACTGCTTCCTCTGGGTGGTTTCAGAGGTTTAAGATCCGGAACAAGATCACCAATATAAACATTGGTGGTGAAGAAGCGAGTGCTGATGTTGCTGCGGCTCAGGAATTTCCTCCGTTTTTACGTGAGATTATGGAGGAAGGACAGTACAGTGACGACCAGGTGTTTAACATGGACGAATCTGGTCTTTTCTGGAGAAAACTACCTTCCAAGTCCTACATTGTGAAGAATGCCAGCAGGATTCGGGGCCGGAAAATGCAGAAGGAACGCATCACCGTCCTGTTTGCCACCAATGCCTCCGGTACCTGTAAGCTCAAGTTATCGGTGATCCACACAGCCCGCAAGCCGCACGCCTACAAGAGCATGGACATGACCAAGCTAAATGTCCACTGGCTGACAGCACGTAAGGCATGGATGTTCTCTACACTGTCCCTCTCCTGGTTTGATGACTGTTTTGTTCCCGATGTAAAGAAATTCTGTGAGCAACAGAATGTCCCATTTAATATTTTGTTGCTGCTGGACAACGCACCAGGACACTCGCCCCTACTGTTAGATCGTCACCCCAACGTAAAAGTGGTCTTCCTTCCTCCCAACACTACGTCTATATTACAGCCCATGGACCAGGAGTTGATTTGCAATGTGAAAGCTGCATTCTCAACAAAAAATTCCAGCTCCTGAACGACTACACCAACACCAGGGAAGAGTTGCGTGACCTGAGTGACACCACCACCGATAGCAAGAGCGACGAAGATGAGGAACAACGGTTAGAACAGCAAAAAATACTCTTCAAACAATTCTGGAGAGTATTTAACATCAAGAAAGCTGTGGACTTCTTGGTGGAGTCATGGGATCAGCTGTCTATTGCTACAATTCGTCACGCATGGAGACATGTGTTGCATGGAATACCAGGTGAGAGGAGGAGTCAATCTGTGACTGGTGAGGTTCAGAATGTTGCAGTAGCAGTGGACCTTGCCAGAGAAGCTGCGCAGACTGTTACAGTTTCAGGCTTCTCCGAGACCACCAACGACGACATCCTGGAGGTGATCAGAGATCCTGAAGTGACTGCCGACGAGATGATGGAAGAAGAACACGTCAGTGAAGAGGAGGAAGAAGGTGGGTCAGTCTCCGAAGAACACAATTTAAGTCATAGTGATATTAAGGGTGCCATGGAGTGTGCAGAGAAGATGAAGTCCTTCCTTTCCCGCGACAATGACGATGACCGCTATGAAGTCTTCCATAACCGGCTGGTGCAGGCTATGGAGCCGTACATCAAGGTGTATCACGACAACATCAACGCCAGCCGTCAGCAAAGCATAACAGATTTCTTCACCCGCAACCCACCACAGCCAGCCCAAGCCAGTGACAGTGAAGTTGACTTTGAGGGATTTGTCAGGGAAGCCTTGACAACTGTAAGTGACAGTGATGATGATTCACCTAGTAATGGTGATTCACCTGAGGGCCAGTAATCTGCCCTCTGCCTCGGAACCAGCCTCCATCCCCGCATGCCTACCCATCTCTTCTACTACCGTAAGTGTTACACAAAATTTTTAGTTTTTTAACCTATTCTATATTTTTCCTATGTTAACCTTTATCTTTCCTAACCTAACCTCTTCTATATTACTTGTTTTTTCATACCATCATAAAGTGAAGATAAAATTTTTACTACAACATAGTTGTGTGTCGTCAAAAAGTGGAGTTTGGGGATCGGCCTGGACTCCATTTCAATTAATCCCATATGTTATGTTGTTCACTTTACGCGTTCCTCACTTTCCGCGGGACCCTCCGGGTTACATTAACCGCGTAATATGAGGACCAACTGTATATATATTTATATATATATATATATATATATATATATATATATATATATATATATATATATATATATATATATATATATATATATATATATATATATATATATATATATATATATATATATATATATACTATAACCCTGACTACGTGAGGGTTGAGGACCCCAAATCCAGGGCGTAAGTCCGACGCAGATAAAAAAAAAAAAAAATTTATCGTGTCTACAATGAAATACAACAGTACAGTAAAAGTAATGAATAATGAGGAATGGATACAATTGCAGTGAAGTAATAAATAATAAAGAATGGTTACAGTGTGACAGCACTTACCTTTAACCCTTAACCCTTGATGTATATGGTAAACCCGCCCCAAAATATTATATAATTAAATCGACAAGCGATATCCCACGCCTTGAAAAACTTCCCAAATGAGCTACATGCGGACATATATATGTATTGAGGTATAGAGTATTTCTGAATGCAATATAGCTTATTTTTGTACTATTTTGTTTGATATTATCTGAATATGTAATACATATCTAAATTTGCTGTTTAGTAACCAAATTGATTAAATTTATTTGCCATATAAGACATTGATTTATACCAATTCCTGCATTTTGAGTATAAATGTCATTTTTTTCTAAAATTTGCACATATGTGAATTTTGTTCCAGATTTGGAAAATATACTAAAAGTTCTCTAGGAAAAACATATAGAAAATGTGATTATATGAAATTCATTTTTGGCAGGATAATTGACACTTTTCAGGAACCGGCGCGAAATTTAATTACGCACCTAAAGAGTTAATGTAGTCAGCTGAATGCACATGGGGCCCCATAATTTCTAATTGTACATGGAGACTACATTAACTGGAAACGTTTCGGTATAGAAAATGCGTGTGTTTAAAAAAAAAAAAAAAAATTTAATAAAAATCCTGGTCATAAGTCCTGACGGTCGTAAGTCGTAGCAGTCATAAGTCGGGGTCTGTCTGTGTGTGTGTGTGTATAT